CTGAAAACTGGAACAAGATAAGGATGCCCACTCTCCCCCCTCCTGTTCAATATAGTATTGGAAGTCCTGGCTAGAGCAATCAGAGAAGAGAAGGCAATCAGGGGTATGCAAATAGGAAAAGAGGAAGTCAAGTTATTTCTCTTTGCAGATGACATGACCGTGTACCTTGAAAACCCAAGAGAATCTGTCAAAAACCTCCTTACACTGATAAAGCACTTTGGCAAATTCTCAGGGTATAAAATAAATGTGCAAAAGACACTCGCATTTCTTTACACCAATAACAAACAAACAGAAACCCAAAGAAAAAGCACAATTTCATTCACAATAACCACCAAAAAATGAAATACCTTGGCATCTTCCTAACCAGAGACGTGAAAGAACTTTACAATGAAAACTACAAAACACTGCTCAAAGAAATCAAAGATGACACAAACAAGTGGAAAAATATCCCATGCTCATGGATTGGAGGAATCAACATTGTGAAGATGTCCATCTTACCTAAGGCAATCTACAGATTTAATGCAATACCCATCAAATTACCAGCAACATTGTTCTCAGACCTAGAAAAAACAACACAGGAATTCATATGGAAACACAAACGACCAAGAATTGCCAGAACAATCCTCAGGAAAAAAAAAAAAAACAGGTAGTATCACATTACCAGACTTCAAACTTTACTATAAAGCTACAATAATCAAAACAAGTTGGTATTGGTACAGGAACAGGCATATAGATCAATGGAATACAATTGAGATTCCAGAAGCAAAACCTCAATTTCTCAACCAACTCATATTCAACAAAGCCTCCACCACCTACCACTGGGGAGAGGAGAACCTATTCAGTAAATGGTGCTGGGAAAACTGGCTGACCACATGCAGGAGATTCAAACAAGACCCCTATCTATTCCTGTACACAAAAATTAACTCTTAATGGATCAGAACATAAATGTAAAACCTCAAACCATAAGAACCTTAGAAAATGAAGGACGAACCCTCATGGAAATTGGAACTGGCATCCAATTCCTGAACAAAACCCGAAACCCACAGTCCATAAGAGATAAGATAGACAAGTGGAACTCATTAAACTGACAAGCTTCTGCAAAGCCAAAGAAACCATCAAGAGAGCAGGGAGACAGCCTACAGACTGGGAAAAAGTATTTGCCAACTCCAGGTCTGACAAAGGCTTAACATCTCAGATCTACAAGGAACTCAAATGTGCTGAAAAGAAAAAAACAATCAACCTCATTATAAAATGGGCAAAAGATCTGAACAAACACTTCTCAAAGGAAGACATCCAAGCTGCCAACATACCCATGAAAAAATGTTCAACCTCACTAATCATCAGGGAGTAGCAAATCAAAACCACACTGAGATACCACCTAACTCCAGTCAGAATGGCAATTATCAATAACAAAAAATAACAGTTGCTGGAGAGGGTGTGGTGAAAAAGGAACACTTCTACACTGTTGGTGGGAGTGCAAACTAGTACAACCTCTGTGGAAAACAGTATGGCGATTCCTAAAAGCTCTAAATATTGACCTCCCATGTGATCCCACAATCCTTCTATTGGGAGTATACCCTGAAGAACTCAAATCACTGTATAAAAAAGATACCTGCACACATATGTTTATCGCAGCATTGTTCACAATAGCAAAAACCTGGAAGCAACCACGCTGTCCATCAAAAGAGGACTGGATTTTTAAAATGTGGTACATATACACAATGGAATACTATGCAGCCATAAAAAAAAACAAAATCATGAATTTTACAGCAACTTGGATGGAACTAGAGTCTATAATACTGAGTGATCTCTCACAGAAACAAAGATCTGAATATCGTATGTTCTCACTCATATGGTGGACCTTGAACATCCAATGTAATACTATAAGAAAATGACTGACAGTGGTGGGAAACTATGGGGGTAGGGGAAGGGAGATGGGATTAATGGTAGTAAATATCTGTATGGGGACGGGGAGACACCTCTTATCAACAAGGGTGCCTGAACGAAGTATATTTGTATGCCTAACCCTTAACTGTACCTCACAATATCATAATAAAAAATATTGATTAAAAAAAATAAAATAAAACCACATACCTGCAAAGAGCAGAATCTCTAGAGAAATAACAAATGAAATTCATTCCTTAAGGCAGTAGAACTCCGATTCCACTGAGCATGAAATCAGGCTGCTTGAAAAAGTCTGAATTTCACTAAAGCCAGAGAGATTTGGAACCTGAGAGGGGTCCCCCAAGGGCTTCTTAAAACTCCAGGGAAAGTCAGTTGGGTGGAAACAGATCCACTGATACCAGGTGCTGAGCATCAAAGCAATGGGAGTCAAAGGAAAAGGCTAACTTTGAGTCTTTTTGTGGTCTCCATTTTGTCAACCAGAATCCAGCTTTTAAGAGTTTGTTCAAGCAAAATAGCTGGGAATGGCCATCCAGGAAACATGAAATGGGGTCAGAGAAATGGGATTCATTAAATGTCAAGGTCTTGCTTCTATAGGCAGAAAATAAAGAAATTTAGAAGGATTATGATATTTTCTATACAAGGTTTGGTTATGAGTTACAATAATTTAATTAGTTACATTTTGTTTTCTTTTCCATACAGTTTATTTTCTTTAAAAAAAAAACAGCCTGTTTTCATTTCCTTTCTATTTATTATTACTATTATTTTTGCTTTTGAGTTGGGGTCTCATGCTGTCACCTAGGCTGGAGTGCAGTGACACAATCACAGCTCACCACAGCCTCAACCACTTAAGTTCAGTGATCCTCTTGCCTCAGCCTTCTGTAGCTGGGACTACACCTGGCTAATTTTTTTATTTTTGTAGAGATGAGGTCTCACTATGTGGCCTAGGGTTGTCTCAGACTTCTTGGCTCAAGCAATCCTCCCACCTGGACTGGGATTACAGGCATGGGCCACTGTACTCAGCCTTCTTTCCAATTTAAAGGAGTATATTTAACATTTCATCTTAGACAATGTGATAGTTATGAAGTATTTATGTGAGAAAGTCAAAAGGGAAGTTAATCTATAATGAAAAGTATCAGTTAAGAGAGAAGGAGTCTTCCCTGGCACCCTTTAGTCATTTACAACATTTTACAAAATAAAATGAAAGGGAAAAGTCTAATCTAATCATAGAAACAAACTTTACAGCTTCCTAGGTTATAGTTGCCTACTTATATGACTTGGGTCCTAAAATGACATTCTCTTAAGAGCCAAAATATTTTAAAGTTCCAACAGCTTAAATTTTGAATACCTTATTTCCACACTCTTATGGAGTTAAGTACCATCAGTATAATGATAGCGCCTCAAATTTTATCTCTTGCCCTGGCCTCTCTCCCAAACTCTGTTCTCATCACTAAAGTCAACATCTCAACACAGAAGTCTAAAAATTATCTCTAACCAAGCATATCAAACTAAAACTGATTGCCTCTCCATTTGCTTAATTAACACCTCCCAATTATACTTCATATTTGCAGTTTCTCAGGACAAAATCCTTAAAGTCATTCTTGACTACTATTTTTCTCATATTTTATATCACATCTATTGAGAAATAATGCTAGCTTTACCATTAAAACATATCCAGAGTGTCATCACTTCTCACCACCTTAGTAACTGCCATCCAAGTCTGAGACACCATCACTCATGGTCACAATAATGGCAATAGCATCCTAAAAATTATCCTATTTTCACTCTTGTCCACTATGGTATATTCTCAAGATGCATGTAGAAGGACTCATTTAAAAAATAAGGCATAAAACATCACCCTCTGTTCAATATCCTGCAATTTGTCCTTCTCTTATTCAGAGTAAAATGCCCCATAATGTCCTTTATTATCTCTGCCCTAGTTATGTATATGACTTCATTGCCTAATGTTCTTCATTGTCCTCTCTAGTCTAGTCACACAGACTTTCATGTTGTTTCCCAACTATGCCAGACATACCCCTGTCTTGGGTTCCTTGCTCTAGTGGCTCCCTCTTTCTAGAATACTCTAAATTCCTTCAAGTCTCTGCTCAACTCACCTTCCTAATAAGGACTATCTTGGAAAACCAAGTTAAAAAAATGTAACCTGCCTAATCACCTGGAATTCCCTATCTCCTAACCGTTCTTCATTCTTTTTTGCATACCATTATCACCTTTTAGCCCAGAGTATAACTTATTATGTTTATTGTCACTTATCTATATTACTCTCTGAAACATGAAAGTAGGACTCTTTTGAGGTTTTATGCTGATACACCACAACTACTTCAAATATTGCATGGTACATTATAGGAAAGTAATAAATAATTAATAATTGAGTGATAGAAGTAAAACCCAATGAGTTCCTTATAAACGGCCAAGTAAACACACGTGTGCTTGTGTATGTCCATAAAATTAATGGTAGAGAGAGATGCTGAGAGGGATATACTAAGTCAAAAGGATTACAATAGGAATGGTTTTTCTAATAGGTTTTTTTTTTAGCAAGTTTGCATTTATTTTCTCATTTGGTCTTCCATAAAAAAGCAAAGCTTCATATTATGGTCATGTCAAAAAACAGCAGAACAAACATTTATGGGGGATAAAGAAAGACTAATTATTTATCCTCTTTAGCTAGAGTTTATAGCAGGATATGAAAGTATAAAAAAAGAAAGGAATGGGGGGAAATTCTTGTTAATTTGTTGCAAATTCATTTAAGACACTTCTTTTAAAAGCACACATACTTTTTAAAAAACACATTTTAAAATAATTAGCACAAACTTTGAGAAACGAATTACAATTCTCGGAAATAGAGACATCTCAGTGAGATCTTATCCCTATTTGCTAAATTTTACAAAACACTGAAGAATGTGCTATCCCACTTTTCACCTTCCCAATTATAACTGACTCCACAAACTGGTCTTGTTCTGATATTCCAGGGTGATGGGTCTTGAATGGAAACATGCTTTTCATGAAGCACCATTCCTAGTTTAATGGGTCTAAACACTCCAAGATTCCTAAGTGGTAAGTTGTGTGACTCTGTCTTTCAGATAAACTATTTCCCTGGAATACTGTCTGGATACTGACTCTGAGTGTAATGCTGGCTGCGCTGCTATTGTTTATCATGGTGCCTAGTATTGAACTATATCTCAGACAGCGTAAGTTGGTTTGAAGGATGGGAGATGCTCACAGAGTGAAAGAGCTGAAACTGAATAACCCTTGATTACCAAGGCTGTCTGCCTCAGGAAGTTCTAAACTCTTAGGTGTGTGTTAGACAATAAGCCCTCCACTCATTTCTTGGCCTCTGCTGGAGCTGCTACCAATGCTGTCATCTGAAATCCTGAGCTTCTAGTACCTCAGTCAGATTGAAACCCCTTTTTCCTAGGGTGATAGATATCTGAACAAACTGGGAAAGCTTTTTAACAGTTAACACCTAACACAATTTATGTATATTTCTCACTTGACTTCGTAAAGTGTCCAGTGACCACATCAGAGGCAGGAAATAAAGTTTTAATTGCACATAGCAGAAATAAATGGCTGAGAAGAGGTCACTCATCAGAGCATCAGGAAAATAAACCATACAGGAAGAGTTACACTGGCTTATTTTTACCAGGAGAAAAGGTTTTCATTCATTCCTAATGATGTTGATCTGGGGGCAGGGGGTGGGAGGGATGAAAATAGCTTGCATGATTTGCAAGACATTTTAAGACACAAAAAAATAGCTGCTCACAATGTGGGGTTTTGCTCAATTTAAACAGCTTCAGACTCACATATCTCTTCTGTTGTGGGTATTCAAAACAGTAGAGTCTATGGTTTCTTTTTGCTTTTCACCAGGCTCCCTGATCTCTTCCCAGCATACCCATCAGCTAATGATTTGGGACTCAGTCCACCTACCTGCCTCTCAACTTCCTGGATTTCTCCTTTCCGTTTCTAGAAGCTCTTCTGGCGTGAACTCTGTTATCTGACCCTAAGAGTTGTCAGTTTCTACCACTGTAGCTGTAGGGTTTAGTGTGGGCAACCTCACCAGAAAGCCACAATTTCCCAACTTTCACCCTTGCTAGTGGCTGTTTTGCAAAATAAGTCCTCTTGCAGCTTCTCTTTGCTGTTGACACTATCCAAGTTTTTAAAGATTCTCTTTTTATAATTTCTCTTCTCTGTCACATTTTCAAATGTATTTCCTTTTTATGTTGCAAATCTCATTCTGTATCTTACACTTTGTTGAACATTCCAAGGCTACATGTGTAATAATTGTGGTCTTTTCCCAGGTAGCTCTTCAGAGAATATTTGTCACAGACATTTCTAAATTAATCTTTGCCAAGCTGATTGTCCTATTATTCAACTGTTCCTCTTGGCATAATTTGAGCCCTTAACATTCTATTGTCTTTATCTAAAATTAGTTTTTGAATTATTTGGAATGGATCATTTTCAAGGAGGCAGAGTTAATGCTATAATAGATATTATCACATCATCATAACAGGTTGACATTTTTTGAACTTTTACTATTGTCAAAAACTATAACAAGAACTTTACAATTATTAATGCATTTGACCTCCAAAATGCTCTTTGAGTTAAATATAATTACTACTGAATTTTCAATATGATGAAAATAATAACATCAAAATTAAATATTGCACCTAAAATCACCCAGCTATTAATGGTAAGAAAAACAATTGAATATAAGCCATATGGACACTCTAATTCCATATTTTAACTGCTAAGTTAAACTGTGCCTATACCTCTTCGGCAGAGGAATGGCACCTACTGTGGAAGTAAGCCCTCCACAATATAGAATATTTTTAAGAAGAGACTAGATAGCCAAATGATGCTACTATGATATACGCTAAATAAGATTTTTAAGCAATATGTAGTTGAAGACTCACTCATGAGATTCTTGTATCAAAAGTTCATATGATCTCCTAGGTGGTTCCAAGGACTCCAGAAATATACCACTCTCAATCTTTTCAAGTCCGGATAAGATAAGAATGACCAGCACATAACTCCAGCTAGTGCTCTTTAATGAAGTTCACTTACTAATGGGCTAGATGGAAAAAAAAAGATGAGTTACATACTTCTAGGTCGGTTTAGTCTCAGTCCCAAACATGTCTTATCCTAGCAACAGCTCTTCTTCTTGTCCCTTTTCCCACCAGCTCTCTGGTCCTTCAAATCTAAGCCTTAGTCCAACTCCAAATAAATGCAAGGGAATGGCATCCAAACATAGCTCTTGATTTTTAGGTACATTTTCCTTCAATCCAAAGTGCTTCCACACCAATAACTAATGATTATAATATCTCTTTTTCTTCAGGTATGTCCTGGAACTTGAAATCTCTTTGTGCTGTGGGCGCAGGAATAGTCTTCCTTTCAAGTGTTATAATCAGGGCAATACCTAGCTGTTTGTATCATAAACAAAGCGGTAACGTGGGATCAAAAGAATGAGAATCTCCAAAAAATATCTCTTTCCCAAATGCCAGACTCTGATAAGACATTTAGCCAAAGAGGAGCCATATTTGTTTAATCTATTGGAACATAATACTTGGACTGCCTGTCCTGGAATTTGAACTCCAGTCTCCTGAATTTTATGGACTTGCTGATACAATCGGCTGATGATTTTGCTCCTAGGGAATGAAATGTTTCCTTCAGTTTAGTAGCTTTATTTTTGCCAAAAATGCAGTGATCACTTTGCCTATAAATTATGAAGATTCTATCCATACTTTTAACCTAAAACGGTAATCACTCAGTATATCTTAAACTTTTGGGGTGACAGATTTCTTTTAGAGACTGATGTAAAGCAAAGGATGCTCTTTTAAAAATTATTCATATGTCCACATTAATTTGGTTCAATTTCATGGTGTGCATAGACACCTGAAACTGATTTTTCTTCTTTTTGGCTCTCTTTGAGGGTGAAATTGAAATGATAATTGTGAAAGTTATTGGGATAGCTAAATTTGACATATTTAAAATATGCCCTCAGCTTAGTCTTTGAATTCCCCATGGAAATTATATATACAAGGTAATAATAAGCAAGATAAAGTAATTTTTTTATTATAAACTGAAGCTGTAGCCAAAAATAACCATGCAGAAGTTATATCCAGCAGTAGGGCTGGATAGAGGATTTTGTTTGTTAATTTTCTCCTGTGAAATTAAGACACTGTTAAATTAAGTTAAAGCTGCATCCCTAGATATATTAAGTCCAAACTGGTGATTTTGCCATATGTAGTGAGCTTTAACCTGACTGGATCTGTAAAAAGAGTGTAACCTACTCTTGTATCAATCACAGAGTTTTGGCCCCTTCAAATTGTATTTAAATAAGGCAAATACTGAACTGTGACCAAACCAGCTGTTTCTGGACCTCACTTCAGTTTTCTGTTCCTCACATTCCTTTTTCTGTCCATAAATATTATCAAACAAGTGGCAGTCCCAGAGTAGCTATGGACTTAATCTGGTTCTAGGCAACCCAATTCATGAATTGTTCTTTATTCAATTAATCTCTATTAAATTTAATTTGTCTAAAGTTTTACTTTTAACAGATAATGCCTGAAATGAGATTTTTTTTTCTTTGAGTTGGGGTCTCTGTTGCCCAGACTGGAGTGCAGTGGCCCCTCCCGGCCACCACAGCCTCCACCTGCTGGGCTCCGGCGGTCCTTCTGCCTCAGCCTTCCAAGTAGCCAGAATTACAGGCATGTGCTACCATGCCCGGCTGATTTTTTGATTTACTATAGAGATGAGGTCTCGCTGCCCAGGCGGGTATCAAACCCACAGGCTCAGGCAATCCACTCACCTCAGCCTCCCAAAGGCGCAGGATTACAGGCTGAGCCACCAAGCCCAGCTTGAAATGAGATTTGAAGTAGAGCTCCTGGTGACTCCCAGAAGCACTAAGTGACCAAGCAAGTCCATTGTGTCCATTGCCCTCTTGCAGCGACTGGCGATTGTGGATAAACTCTTTCTCAGATTCTGTAGCTCTGTGGATTTTTGTTTTGAGCTATCTGACTATGTTTGAGCAAATTTTTATTTAAACTGTGTTTACACATCATGACAGAAACTGGACCAGCTCCAGGACCAGACTGGATTCAATAATTAACCAGATTGGATCCAGTTAGAGACCTCAGACATCTGACTGGCTCAGAAGAAAACTGGCAGTAAATGACATTAAACTGCAGTGGGTACAAACTCTGGCTTTCAGAAATTCAGAGGGGTTTTGTGTTCTATCCCCTTTGTTTATTTATGGCAAGTGAGTTCATTACCATAAGAGTGGGTTTGTCCCTCACCCTTGCTCCCTCTCACATCCTCTCTTTGCCCTTCTACCTTGTGATGCCTCTTAAAGTTTCCAGTTTCTAATTCTGTCACAATGGCAATTAAATTTCAACATGATGGGGGGAGGGAAGCAAAAAAAAATTCAACATGAGTTTTACAGGGGAAAAAACATTCAAATGATAGCAGATGTACAGTTTAAGAGTGTCTAAACCAGTGCTAACCAGTAGAACTTTCTGCAATGATAAAAATCATATTTCAAATAAATAATGCCACACTTTAAGAAGTGCATTTAAAAATGAAGTCTTTCTCTAAAAAGACTTTTTAGTCTTTCTCTAACCCAGAGACACCTATTGATGTGCAGAAGCTTCTAGAAATATTTCAATATTTTCATTGTCTCTTAAAAATACTCTTTTCAAAAGGCAAATTAAATGCTTAATTGACTCTAATAAAAAATTAATCTGCTAACCTTTTGACTTAGTTACTATCCCGCTGCAAAGATGAAAAGAAATCTGACTAAAATGTATGTAAAAGGTAGGCCCTCCGGTAAAGTAGACTTTTTTTTAGAGCTGTCCAGGCTGAGTCCAGGAAGAGAATACTTTCTTTGCCCTATTTCTTGATGGACTTCATCCTGAACTCAGTAATTTGAGCTAAGAAACAGTAGCTAAGTTATAAAAGACCACCTATTGAACTAAATTGGTCTCCAAAATATACCTTTCTGGCATTTAGTTGGCTATTTTGAAATCCTTTTGTAGGTTGGGCATGATGGCTTATGCCTATATAATAATCTCAGCACTTTGGAAAGTCAAGATTGTAGGATTGTTTGAGCCCAGGAGTTTGAAACAAGCCTAGGCATCATAGTGAGAACTTGTCTGTGCAAAAAAAATAAAAAATAACTGGGTGTGGTGGTGCA